TTGTGACGTAGCGATAAGACTTTACATTCGGTAACGTTGAATTCCATATCACTGGAGACAGGGGAGATCCAATGGATTCCATGAGCCAGGGTGTTTAATCCTGCAAAGTCGGTTATGCTGCGAAAGCGATCCGAAGAAGCTGTTATTACTGACGCATAGCGAACGTATTCGAATAATAATACAGCGTGATCACTGCGCCCCAACGGAGTTGCGATTGCCATTGATTCGACCATCAATCCTTCATTTGTCTGTACTAGATCCAAGGTTGACGAAATTTGGTTGGTTCCAAACCCGGTGGGTTCCTTCACATGTACAAAGGATGTGACTGGATGAACTGCATGAATTGTCGTTCAAACGGCATACGTGNNNCGTGAGGTCGTCATGTTGCTCAGTTTTGGACAGTTGAAGTCACCCATAATAAGAACATGAGTGAAATTCAATGACAAGAAGTAAGACATTGTTTGTAACAAAGTCTCATTTGCTGAATATGCTGACGAAGGAGGGCGATAAACTAAACCGATCAGCCCGATATCATGTTGCGTTAGCTTCAATTTACACTATAACGTATGTGAAGCAGCAAACGGGCACTCGATTTGCTCCATTACAAGCTGTTATGATAAAAGAGCAACACGCCCCCACCTCGTGTTGGACGATCACGCCTCAATAGCTCCACGCCCGGTAATTGCAGCTCGGAGTCTAGAATGTCGCTCGTCAACCAGGTTTCGGTTATGGCAATGAGATCGCAACGACCGGTCCGACAACGTAGTACCACTTGTGCAAACTTACTAAAAAAACCCTGAGCGTTGGTATAGAAACAGTTCAGTCGTTGTCCGTGCAGAAATCCCTTGGGGTTTAGGGACGTAATTTGGCCGACCTCATCGTCGGCGGGCACACGTTTTCTGCCGTAGGTGTTTGTCGGGTTTGGTCTGATGGCGTCGAAGTGGAGCATTAAGTTTGGATTGTTTCACGCGCAATATGATTCACAGTTTCGACTGATGGACAACTTTTCGGTCCTGAATTCAGTATCGGTCTTACGCGTACTTCTTTGGGTCCTCTGGTTCTGTGTTCATACCATGACTCGAGAACCGTTTTTTTCTGATGTCCCAAGAGTTACTTTCAGTATTTGCGAGCCATCTCCACGATAGTTGGGTGGACGCGGAAGGCGTTTAATGGTCGTGATAGAAACGTTGTGGCAATCTAACAATTTTTGAATGAAGCGCCATTCGTAAAAATCATTTTTTCGACAGTTGGACTCGTCCGCTTCGAGGAGCTGTGTAGAGAATCGCCCGCGAGTTGTCTGCATCGCGTGCACTGTTAGGATCCGCAATGAGGAAGCTAGAAAGAACATTTTCAACGTCTTCACTGGCCAGTGTCACACGAAGTAACCTGGGTTCTCCGATATGCGGTGATGTTGGTTGGCGCCAGAGACGTGAGGCTCACCGGTTTGCCTTCTACACCCATTCGGGTACATATCTCTGCCCAGCGACGCACCTCGTTCTGTTGCCTCTCTCTCAATGATTGACTTGTGGGTTCTGGGAGATTTGTACAAACTACCGTGAATGCAGTGTTGCACCCTAATCTCTTGTTCATTTGTAACGGTATGGCAGCTTGCAACTGACGTTTAGGTGGCGGTACTTTGACTACAGGCACCAAAATTTCAACCATCGGTTTCCTCTCGGTTATTGGAGAGGAAGTGATGCGCGCTACCTATTGATTTGTTTTGCTGACGGCACTTCTCGGACGTTTTGACCGCCTTGGGTTTTCGGAACTGAACTGGGAACTGAGGGTCTTTATCTTCTTCTCGAGAGAAGTAATTTGTACTTTTGCCTTGTCCTCGACGGCTGCTAATAGGTTTTCAAATCTGTGTGATATCCGCTATGCATTTGTTAATGGGCGGAACCAGAAATAGTCCGTCTATGAGACTAATGGTTTTACCCATTTTCCCGATAGTTTAGCACACGAAAGACCGTATACAGTTTGCGCATGAGATGCCGTTCTTATATTTTTTCCACACTTAAATTCACCGCATACTCATGGTCCTGTTGTGACCCCTGGAGCGGCGCTAGTTGACATACTTCGACGACCCATTTCGGATCTACTGTGAACGGCGAGGTTGGCTGCAGTTGACAAAGGTTAAGTGCAATGAAAAGTGTAGGTTTGGACCGATCAAACGTACAGGTCTAGTCGAAACTGAAACAACGGGTCCCTGTGGAACACTTGTCGGTTCGTATAGGCAACAGCATTTCTACTGAAGTAATTTTTTTCCAAATAATAATAGACAAGCCTTGGCGAGTCTTTATAGACGTGATTTCCATGATACGTTTATACTCAGCAGATGGAATGGTTCAGGATGTAGCGACTACTCCCATTTAGTTATTAATAGTTGATCTAGACCATGGTGAGTTAAGAGGTAACTAAAGAGAATGAAACAGTTTTTATTTGCAACAAATTAACATTCATAATAATTAACATGTGAGGTTTATGTACGCTAACAGTCGACTTGTCTGCCTTTGATCTTTAGGACTTTTTCGAGTCGCTTCGGCATGGAATTCATGAACTTTGTTATGAGGTCATTTTCTAGTATGTGTTCCATTACGTGTCGCACTGTTGCCTCCACTGTTCAATGTATAGGTACAAATTGACCTCTCTCTTCAAAACAGCAAGCTGAAACCTGACGCGTTTTAAATGTTTCCATTCTTGTTTGCAGAAGGGAGTATGAATGGTGAGGAAAATCTTCCTGTTGGATAGACGGCAAGGATTTTCTGCAATGTTTTTTCAGAGTAATACGAATCAGGTCCTCCTCCTGTCTGGATGTACTCGGTTTACGGCCCCCCGCAAGCTTTTCCAGTCGTTGTTTCCCCATGGATTAAACTGTAAATTGTGCTTTTCTTAACTTTAAAGCATTGGGCAAGATGGTATATGGAAAATCCCAGCATGTGTGCTAGTGCAATTCTGTTTCTGTCCCCTTCACTGAGATAAAGTGATATTTCTCTAATTCAGTGACTTAGACATCAAATATAGATCATTATTATGAAACCTTATTGAATGCAATTTCTCTGGGTTATGAAAGAATTTCATTTGGTTACCCGATAGAGTTGCTATAATGGATTAGATATTAGATAAAATAATGCCTCATAGCAAATAACCAAGATGGCAAGGGTTTATGAAAATAATTTGGGATAATTCTTGAGTCATTCCTATTAGAAAATATTGCGTTGTCATACTTGATAAAGTTTGTGGTTTTCATGTTCAGATCAAGGTCAGACATGCTCAATTGACACTTATGCAGACTAGAAACTACGTAGATCAAAGTAGACAAGATATAAATCATTGTCCATACCTAAAGCATAAATACAGGTGATAAATATAACGAAACTCCATTCGATCATAACGAAAATATTTTAGTGTATCACAATCGGCCACTACTGTATGTGGTGATAATTCTCACTGACGCGTAGAATAATGAGGTTAGTTTGTGAATAACGGTCGATTGAACTGGTCATAGTGGGATGGACGCACGTGTCAGTGATGGTGCAAATGGCACAAACACTGAATTGCACAAGTATATATCCAGCACACTGAAAATTGTGCGTAGAAAGATCAATTAGGATTTGTTGGATGGAGCGTAAGATTTCCTTCATAATGATATGACAATATTGACACTTCGAAGGAAAATTAACAACTTTGCACGCGTGAGTATTGGCAAAATATTTGCTACAATTCACGGAAAAGCACAGTGGTGTATATGGTATGGTTTACGTCCGAGAGATATGGCTAGATAGATCCCACAGCTGAGTCGAACGAGCGTAAACTCATTGATGTATGACGAGCTTTGAAAGAGTAAATCCACTTAAACCGGCGGCGAACGAATTATGCGATGGCACACAGCAGTTGATCTGGTGGAAACACAAAATAATGCTACCCTCGGAAGTTCAATTTTACCCGCTTTTGTATCTACATTTTTTCGCTAATCCATGGCTATTTTGGCGCCGTATCTATCTATCCATATATACCATTTCGTTTCATCGCCATCGCTTACCCTGGAACTCAACTGAATGAACTGGCCATTCTCACTCACTTATGGTCTGGCATAAATTCCATCGATGGATCCCTTCAGTGCAAGCCAAATAGACATACCTTAGAAGCTCTCCGCATTGATGCAGATCATTTGTAGACCTTTAGACAATTCTCAAAAATCCTTTCTTTGTTTTCCTGGATTTTTCTTCCGCTCCACGACCTCTTCTCCAAAAATTGCAGTTTCTCGGTTGCTCCATCACTTTATTATAGTAGTTGGAATAATATTTCACATCAAACGGCACTGTTCCAATTCCGCTGGTGAATAATTCCAGAGTTAATTATAGTGCCGTGCCATCTCTATACTTATTTCCAAAACTCACCAATGACAGACCCTCAACCCTGCCAGCCAAAACCTCTGAATGAATATGCCGTTTTATGGAAACCCTCCTCCAACCAATTTGTCACGGAATTATTCTCCGACAGTTTCGTACAAGTGAAAGTATTCCCGAATCAATTCCGTCTCCAGTCGAATCTATTTGTTTTTCCGGGTGAGAGTATCACTTGGAACCCTCAGTCGCCACAGAATGCAATCTATGGTGGTCCTCTCGCGTGCTAACCTGCTGCTTCGCTTATCCTTCCGGATGCGCAAGCTACGACACTTCACAGTGAAGCATTGAACGCTATGTGCTTTTGTTTATCAGTGAATTTTTCCGATCATACTTTATTGATCTCTTGTTACCTGACCGAGCCTACTTAAATAGGATTTCATTACTCTTCGCCGCGGTTTTGTAGTTATTACTCGCTTAATTTAATTAACACAAATCGATAAGTTGTGGGAGTTTTTCATCAAGTAAAGTGAGAATTTCGCCAGATAACAACCCTAGTCATCCGCGCAATCCGTATATTATCGTTCCTACTCCGCTTATCCTCTAGAAAAACATTTATCAGTATTCAACGGTAATCCACTTGGCTCGTATTCTTGATTAAGCCATTGGAACCAGGCGATAACCGTGGAACGTGTAGCTCATGGGTAAGGGTCGAAGTCCCGACCCGACTGACCGCAGTTCGAGTCCTGACGGGGACACGAAAAGTACGCAATGCTGACGAGTTCCAAACAGGAAGAAACAACGGTCTAGTGCTCTTTGTTGGTTATCACAAACATTTCCATCGCATTTGGATTACAAGGAATACCTTTCAAGTTTTGTCACTGCTTTGTTTGTCCGGTTGTAAAGGTGAACACATTTTTTGACTGAGGTTTATGCATAGTTGTTTGTTTAAGTTAATATGATGCAATACAGATTATGAGGACGAGGGAGGATTATTCGGCAAACTAAACAAATACTGCGGTCTCTTAGATACGATTCCCCGGGGTGATTAGAATAGAAACCAGTTTTCGACAACGTACTTTTTTACAGAAAACATTCAATATTCGATTGAGTATACAGTTTAGAATACGAAGCGTACATCAAAGGCAATTAATTGATACAGATGGAACGTGTGCGTGTGTGTAGGCACAGTAGTGCGAACAAGAAAATACATTTCACATATTAGCATTCACGACTATTGACCAGCTTTCTCGCACTTTTCGGGCCAGGAGTTGCCATGAATGAACTGCGCTTTGAACGACGTGTTTGACGGCGGTCCCCAGACACAGTGTGAAGTGATGTATCTGAAATGGATGCTCGTGAAATACGAGCATTTCGGGATGGTGGATCGTTTAACTGTGATTGTGAGCGAGTATTATGTGCCGAAATACGTGGCGTGGCTTTTGCTGTTCGCCGAGGACAATGAGCAAGTTTGGATGCCTCCGACGCGAGAGAGTGATGGCGTGTTGTAGAACGCCGCAATGCAGCATTTTCTTTATCATCTTCGCAACAGTTATCAGAGGATTCCACGGGTTTCCACTGGGACGATGTTGTTGAAAGTGGGTGTCGATTTCGGGACTTACCAGTGCGTGCTTTGGGCAACCGAGCGGGCTTCGGCTTAACTGACGATTTGTCGTTTTCGGAAACCAACGATGGTCCAGGATTGGCAGTGATGTTTGAAACTGAACTTCCGGGTATCGAGTTTTCGAAGATCAACTTTGAGTCTTCTTCTGATTCATCATCAGAGAAGTTCAACAGAGTCATGTGCCGACCGGATTTATCTGTAGAAAGAAGACAAAATCCACAATGAGTGAAACCGAGTTGTGTGAATGAAAAATGTGAAATGTGAGTTGCCTCGTGATAACTGACATGAACTGACGACAAGTCAAGTGTGCACTTCATACATCGAATGCGTACAGAATTTTAAGTGAAAAGAATGTTATCGGTTTCGCTCTGGAATACATGCTACTAAACATGAGTTTAAGGATATGGCAAACAGTCACTTACATGAAAATGCAGAGGACACTGAGAATGCGTCAAATACAAATAAAATTTCAAGAAATGTTTGTTTTACGGGACAGGACCATTTGAGGTTAGCAGGCAGGAAACATCCAAGATATTCGGCGTGTTAAGATCTTTCAACTTTAAAGTTGTTCATAAGAATATTGGGAACAGATGATCCAGAAAATGTTGATGACCTACGGTTATTGGAAAACAAAACTGTTATGCATTTGTTCGGGTTTACAGAACCATTCAGAAATGCAACTTATGGCTGATTGAAGGGGGTTCGTTGAGGCGTTGTAGTTGTGAGATACACCAGTAACTACTATGTCATATTATGTCATACGTCATATTTTTATGTGAAAACACATGGGATAACTGGCAAGTTTCGGACGTAAAAGGAGAACAGAAAAGGGGATAAAATTACACCCTGTTTTACAGTAACGGTGAAGGACCTAAACCAGTGAGCCAAGTGAATCGGCGTCGGTCGGTAAAATAGTCATGCATCCAATTCAAAAGTTGTGGCGAGAGAAAACGTTGCCGTAACCGTGACAACAGGATGATCCTGTCAACAGAGGTAAACGCGTTTGTGTAGTCCAAGAAACAGACATGAACTATTTAGTGTTTTGGTCTACAGCGGATAAAAAAGAGCGTATAAGACAAGCAACCTCATCTCAGGTAGAGCGACTCATACAATGAGCACTGATTTGAATCACGAAAATCGAGATTGGAAGATAGACCGTTAATAATAATTCGCTCAAAAGTCTTAATACTGAAGATGAAGCAATGGGCCGAAACCTACACTTTTCTTCCTTAAGTACTGCAGTGATCAGAACATCACACCATATCTTTCTTGTGACAGACATGTATTGAAGATGAATGAAACGGTTTGTAAGAGGTTGTTTGGGGCATTTTTTTAGGATCACTGACAACAACCCAACAGGACCAGAGGATTAATTTTTGTTGACAACATTTAACTCCTTTCAAACTTGCTCTGTTGTGACAGTCACAGGAAGGTGGAAATTAAGTGACCTTGTACTCGGACTCGGTAAAGCTTGTATGACATTTTTCGAAGCAAAAGATTTGTTGAGCTCATTGATGTCAGACGAGACTGTAATAGATAAAGTTGAACGACCACAGAGCTACTCCAGTCCATTCAACAGCTGACGCGGAGTTTGTCTCCGAGCACAGTGTCAACATGCAATTGATTGGAATGGGCTGGGAATCCTTTCTTGAGGGCAGAAGTTGAGATAATTGGTAAGGTTCTCAAATAAGACTGAGATATCAAGATCAGAGAGTAGCTTCAAGTCCGTACCGGCAACCATGGATTTCAATTCCATCAAATTGGTCAGATGATTTTGTCGTATAGGTATCTTACGCGCATTGTTCTTCGTGAGGATTTGTTGTTTCAGTTTGCCATGTTTTCTAAGTAAAACTTTAATTACCATTATGCTTCATTACTTCTCATTGTAGACGAATTTTACATCCCAGTAAACAAGGTATTATCTACTATCATATTTCTCAAGGTGATACTCAATCTCCTCCCATTCCCCTGAAGTTCAGTGGTGATACTATAGTTGGGTGTTTCCTTGACGTTACTTTAGTTTGTGATCTTTAGGCCTAATTTCTGCTGGTTCACATCTCACCGCTCATAAAACACAAAACAACTGTAAAACAATCATAAATTTTCTTGATAGTTTGGACACACATGACGTCATGGTCTCTCTCGGAGGTGCATCTTTACCAGATCAGAATGCTTGAAAAGGTGCACATGCACAGTTAGGTTGTGCAATTTGCGTTGACCATAGGGGTTCACCTTCTTTTCCGCCCTGCAGTTAGGTTCAAACCTCACTGGCCTTGTATTTTTCTCACTTACTTTATGTAAACTGACAGCTTGAAAGCGAATTGTTTGGCAGACAATTTAGAAAGGAACATGATAATTAATCACCTCGGAAATGTAACTTATTTCATATAACTAGTTATCCTTACCGAGAAATCAGACCGCGATATAAAACGAAAGGTTTTAATTTAGGCAATCATTACCATGGAGGTTTCTCGTGCTGTCTAACGACTATCCATTTATAAAGTGCAGTGCAGGAAAGGCAGTAGTGTTAATGTGAAGATATACGACTCAATAGGTTGCAGAGATTTCGAATCATGAGCTCCGCCATTCAATAAAACTCATTCATATCACCGTCTTAAAAACCCGGCAAGTGAGGCTACCATGAACTAAATAACTAACTCCCCTGGTTAGGATTTTGATACTCTCGTGCCAGGTCTTAGTTTGATCACTGTTATCTAAATTCCCGCCAATATATACCTTGACATCTTTGTCTTCTTCCAGTAACGGTCAAGCTTTTGCAACAAAAAGCAATTACAAAGGGATTGCAAATAATTGATGTGAACAGTACTTCTCTGAGATAGCTAGTTACTTGGAGATTCGGGTGCCAAATTTGATGTCAGTAACTGATAATTTGCTCGACGCATTCGCATGTTACGGTAATCAGCCGGAGTATAAATGGCGAACGCTAAACGTTTAATGGTTTTGGAGACAACTACATTATCGCACCCGTTCAGAGATCGACCGATCTAGTGATACCGTAAGTAGCAGACAACGAACATGGACAGAGATTACGATCTGCACCCCAAGAGCTGTTTGTTTCGAAGACCACATTAAAGCGATTGGTTTGACAAAATAGCATTGCCCTTTGACCGAATAAACAAAACAGATCGTTACAGGGAGTAACATAGGCGCACACTTACCCAAAACAGACACTGTACGATTTCCCGCACCCCGTGCATTCATTGGACTGACCAGATGAACGTTTGGCCTGGCCGACCCGATCAGAGTGGGATGACTGGGATCGCACAGTCGTCGGGCACTGAACAGTGCAGTCGTGTCGAGCTCCACATTATGGGACGTCTCGGAACCTTCTGAGTTTGGTGTGCACTCGACCGAGTCCACTCTGCGCTTCAAGTCGGCCAGCACTTGGTCGGGATTGAGGTTGAGAGCCTTCAGATTTTCGTTGATCAATTTGCGGAACCGATGTAACAAAAGTGTGGTAGATCGGTCCGCATACTAAAGAGGGTGGAGATAAATGGAAAAAATTAGGAGTGCAATCATCTGGTACGTATTGAATCACGCGAAAAGATGTGTAGCACCGAGTGAGATGAATCTATTACAGTCAAGTATTGAACTCGCCTCCGAAAGTCTCAGTATGGTAGAGCTGGGTGACTAGCTTCGCGGCTGGTCACCTATTCTTGCACCTCGAAGAATGCTTCCATACAACCAATCACCTCAACAAAAATCGATTGGGCATCAAGGTGTATCGGGCACCTTGAACGTTTGACCATGTCTAGCGATGTACTGGACACCAGCTCCTAATAGTGTTTGGCATTTACACACAGTCTCGCTTCCTTGTGATTTAGGCCTTGGTTAACCGAAGGCTCTGGTTGTGAATTCCCCAGAAAAAGTCACCTGCTTTGGCCTGCGTGGGTGAAAATACTAATAAATAAGTACTGAATACGGCTGATACAAAAAGATGACGATATCCTCAGTTTAAACAAAAATGAATATAGACAATAAGGTCGTCAGCTGACGTTTAATCAGTTTGAGGCGAGTTTTACGGTAAATTGGCATCAATGAAGACGTCGAGCTTGCTACTTACTCGTTCAATGTAATGATGGTATATTCAGACAATCTGTTTAGAACTCATCAACCGATAGGGAGCAAAATCGAAGTGCTTGACGAAAGAACAGAGTAATTCGGATAAAGGCAGAAGACAACACAAAATCAAACTCACTTTGGTCATTGAGTCGCTCAAAAGAAGCAATTCCTTGTGCACGGCCAGATTGTTTCGAGACGGATGCAGTTGACATAACATGCGTAAGTACAACTTGGCTTCAGCGGACTGAGGAGCTTTGAGGACTTCAGCAGCCAATTGTGTAGCTAAACGATCATGATGAGGATTATCCTGAGAGAAAAAGGGTCATCAGAAACCGTGAATGTGCAAAATAGGCGATGATGACTGATTCTGATGAAGTACCAGGGTATACAAAACTATGTTGATGATTGTTTTCGCAAGTGGTTGACGTTCTAAGTTTGCGCAACAGGGCATTAAACGATCACCACGATAACCTTAGGAGTATTTATCTGGTTGTCTATACAACGGTAAAATTCAGGCTCAGTGAATAACATGGCACAAAGTAACACAACAACAGCAAAGAAAACATAAACGTTAATAAACCTATCAAAAAGTGCATAGCGGAAGAACTGATGTCTGACATATTGTTGAGGCCGAAGCGAGGATACAGTAAGTCACAACATCAGTAATGGAAAAACCGGGCGGCCACACGGGATATGAGTGACTCGAATTTACTGTTGTATGAGACTGTAAAATGGCAAAGTGTAGGCTTCTCTCCTTAGATCGCGTTTGATCCACGTGAACTTTCTGTACAAACCCTTACCCTTAGCGCTGAGGTTTTTGGTTATTCATTTGGATGATCAGTGAACAATGGAGTAGATTAACGAAAAGCGTTACCATGACACTGCGGGACAACAGAGCAAATAAAACCACATGTGAGTGCATGGAGTTACTCTTGACTCGGACATCATAACTACAATATAAGCAATCTGGAGAATGCCTAAAGATGATACGCCATTTCAGTCAACCTGTGGTACATATCACAGCGAATTATAAACATTCTGCTGTCAACTGAGTAAAAGGTGCTTTGTCGCATGAAGAACGATGATATCNATCAACAGGTTGAAAAAAACTGTGAGGGCGAAGAAGAGAACCACAAACATACTTTCTGGATGGAGTGGCTTACAGTTAGATGAATCTGGCAGTGGTTTGATTCGCCAGTTATCTAGTAAAATGCTCATAATACCTGGCAGGGATTTACCTTCCACCCCTAAGGAATGCATTCAGCTGGGCGGTATAGCCTTTCAGACTGCAGTTGCACAAGGCACCACATCGAAGTCTACGTACAATCTCTTCGAGTTGGATATATTTATAATAAACTGAATACTCACTACCGATCAGTGCAGAATGGATAGCATAAAAATAAAATGCGAACATTACGCGTGACATTTGTCGTGGAACTGGAGAAACATGAAAAAACGGCACGATCGTGCTATCCGATCGAGTAAAGTAATTAACCAAGTGATACTTAACACCAGTGACACCAGCATGGTCACAAGCTTGCCAGTGAACGACATATCCACCTGTGGATCATACAACGCAGACATGCATCAACGATCTGGTTGCCGATGAAAGAACGAAAACGAACACAACATACTGCTCCAAGTTTACGCGATCCTGAATGGCCATCAACACCAGTCTCTCCAGCGCCTTGGACATCTTCCTGATCTAGGTCCGGTGGGTTGACAATCAGTCCGCCCTTCGGTTGTTGTTCTTGTTGTTGCCAGTGAGAAGTGTCCGTCAATCGAGCTAGAAGACTGGCCACATCTGCAGGTTCGACTTCCGACAATGGAGAGGAGGCTGGCGCCCGGATCAATGCATTTAAAGTGGGCAGTACCGAATTAGCCAGGGAAGCTTGATGAGCGTAATTGCCCATTTGCGCACTGGTAGCAGATGTCCTCGTGGCTGGATTCCCACAGGCGTAATCAGTAAAGAAACAGGCCAAGCCACGTCGAATCGCTTGTCGATCTTCAGTTATCGGATTGAACCAAAGTAAAAGAAGATCGCTGAGGATTCGGCTGGACATAAGCCGATCGTAGATGAGTAACTTGGCGAGGCCGAGTGCACTGCAAGTCTGCAAGTCTTCATCTTCACTGTCTAACAAGGCCACAATTGGGGCGATTAACTGCGTCACTGTTTTAGACATTTCCTCACACCGGCAAAATTCGGAGGTGTTATTAGCATCATCCTGTTTCACAAGAGCCACAAAATCCGATGCTTTTGAGAATGAGAAAAGAACAACATACCTATCACTCATCAACATTGTACTGGAGATTGATTGCAATACGATATCAGGAATTGGGTTATTGTGTACAGCTGCTACCTCTAATGGCTCGGCATATCATCATACACCAGCGTCCGACCAAGAACCAAAAACGTGATCGACTGGTCTGCATGGTAGGAGAATCAACCGACAATAAACAATGACCATCAAGTTTCAGAGAAAGAGAAGACGACATCCAGACTTGTATCATCAAACTTCACTTTAACCGTTGAAAAGCGCTATTGGAACAGATGAAAAGAACTTGCTAGTCTGTCCATAACAGAGGCAGACACATTAAAGGCTCATGGACACACAAGACGAGAGCCGTCACAAACCTATGTCTATGCTGACCAAATTGATTTTATCTGTCGATCGGAATTAGGATTATATTGTTCCTGTTGTGAATTATCTGAGGAGGACATAAGGGTTAACTAAGTTAGGTACAGATAGGTCGCTGAACCGAGGTACAGTGCATCTGCTTTCCGTCTTCAATATCACATAGCAAACCATAAAAGAGAAAAACTTAGCTGATAAGAATAACCCGCAGATATGGTGGATAGGAAACCGCAGAGAGATGTGGTTATCGGCAACATTCGTAATACTTTTCATTTTGATAGGAGAACGGGACCGAGGGAAGTAGGCGTAAGCGAAATAATCAAGGGGTCTAACGGCACAGGGATTCATCATCAGAAATGCAGTCTTAAACATTGGGCAGAACATTTTACATAGCATTGCGGGCCCCTGTCGACACAAGACTCTCCTATAGCTGCTTCAATTGAGCAAATAGTGCCAGTTTATCAGTCGTCAAGACGGACTAAATTCAACAGATGAATTATCTCACTCTCTCTCTTCCGGCCAGTCTCCATCAGTTTTTAAAGGTGGAGTAACCTAAACTCCTGTGCTCAGTGCGGGAGACAGAACAGATTCAAACAGAATGATGTAAATCGGTAATACCGAAAAGCGACGGGTTCACTTGCGAAAACCACAGAGGAATCGATTTAATCAATATCGTCTCTAAAATTTTTCATGGCAATATACTCCGTCTTATGTCTGTCCAACATGAACCGTGCACGCGTGAGAACTGAAAGCGGCCTTAGACACAGTCGGTCGCTCTAAATTCTGGGACGCCTCGTTCTGAAGAGTGTATCTGAGATGTTTAGTCCAATATCGCAATTCCCTTATACTGGTAGCCGAAGCTGAGTTCAGGTTTGCGACTCATTTTTAAGAAAGAAAGTGGAATTTCATATGGTTGTTTTCTCCCTCCATTTCTACTTAACTTTATATTAGACGTAATTTCCCTGAGGACAATGGTGCCGATACCTTCCCAGGAAGGGGACAGTTTAATCTGGAGTTTCCAAAGAATATTGTGTTACTAATTGAAGATGCAGGTAAGTTTCAAGCTTTTCTGGATAGCTCGAGTGCTAGCGTAACCATGTTCGGCATGTGTTTTGTACCTTCAAATTGCAATATGCTGTTACAAGATTGGGTTGGTCCAGTCATCAACCTCACAATGATTTCAGAAGTAATAGAGGAGGTAGATCAACTTTGCTATCTGGCCAGATGCCCCATTGGCCAGCCTTGTCGAACAAGTGTCGGCACTGATGAAGAAGGCTTCGCCGACATTTTCGAAAAACCTGTGGCGCCTTCGCGACATCCGACTGTCCGTGAAGGGCCGTGTGTATGCTGTGTCAGTTCCGCCAGTTGTGTAGTACGGTGCAGAGACTTGGCCATTACGGGAACAGGATGAAAATAGTGGCGGCGTATGAACACCACGGTCTGCGCAGTATTGCACGAATCTCGCGGGTTAACCGGAGGAGGAATGCTGAGATTAAGAAACTGAATAGGTTGCCACAGCCAGCGAATTTTGCCGAGGCAGGTAGTGGGTGACGGAAAGCCAAGCTTTTTCAAACTAAAACCTGACAAGAGAGAATGAAATCTTTGCCTAGGATACTGGGTGACGTAGGTTCTGTGAGGCTTCCTGGATGGAGATCCCGAGATCATGGTAACCGGTGGTTATAGAGGCTGAGTTACGTGGCCGAGTTTCGTGAACAGTGGCGATCGTGCTTCTAATCAATAGTCTTACATCTCCAATCAATATGAATTTCACACTTCAATCTTCATTCTGTTACTTTATCTAGATGCGTACCCAAAAAGCACCTCCAAAACTGCTACACGCGAAGGTATGGTTAATGGTTGTAAGAAAATAGCAAAAAACTCGGCTGTTGATCAATCGGGTGCGAAGAAGTTCAGGGGGTTGTCATTAGACGGCTTCCTGATTGAGAACAAAAGATTTCAGGAAAAATTGGAACGTCGAGAAAACATGCAGCTATGAAAGCGACAAGTAACAGGAAACCAGCGTACCAGACAACCCTGTTGCTCATATTGACAAAGAAACAATGAATAAAACATAAGAGCTCTAAAAGTAATTCTGAAACGTTATACTGAAGAAAAGCTTAATGGAATAAAGCAGACCATGAACAAGAGTTACAGGAATGTTTTCATGACTTATTGTGGACTGTTTATCATTATACATATTTCCAGGAAACAAACGCCAATCGAACTTCGGGAATTAACCTCCTACCATTATAGTCGAAATCATCCTCAGATTCCGTGACCGCGGCCTCATCGGTTGGTGCGACAGCTGTGTTCGGTCGAATTTTTGATTCATGAAAGGGTCGGAAACCGAAAATGAGCAAACAATCGATAATGCAGCGTAGAGCGGTTTCACTGATCATGACATGATCAACCCGCATCGCCTACAATGAAAACGAAACGCGGAACGATACATTAGGTAATAAACCGAAAGACGAACTGTCATATACTTTAGAAAAGTTCAGCATTCAAATTCATACATTTTCGAACTGCCTAAAACTCTACGCCTAACCTCAGCATTGCTCATCCGGTTACCTCACCAAACTCGTGCAGTGCCACGTAGACAGCGGTGTTCAAACATTGATAATCTATTTCTATCCTGTTCCCGTAAAGGCCAAGTCTCTGCACCGTACAGCAGAACTGGCCGAACTGCTGCACCATATACTCGACCCTTCATAGACAGCCGGATATCGCGACGGTGCCATAGAAGTCTCAAGTTGGCAAATGCCAACCTAGCCTTTTGTATGCCCGCCAACACTTCATCCGTGATGCGTCCACCGGGTGAGATGTAGCTGCCCAAATAACTTAACTTATCCACCAACTTTATTACCTCCTCAGTTACAGTGAGGCTAGGTGCCGGTCCAACCCAATCTTGTAGCACCATTTTACACTTTGAAGGTGCAAAACGCACACATCACTGCACTAGCACTCAAACGATCCAGAAAAGCTTGCAGCTTACCCGGACCTTCACCTAGTGGCACAGTGTCGTCTGTATACTTCAGATGAGACAGTCCGCCACATAGGAGCAAATCGATACCGCAATTCTCTCACGAGGATAAGGCTGTTTCAAGAATAAGATCTATGACAAATTGAAATAGAAACGGAGAGGTCAATCAAGACGAACACCACTTCCTGTAGTGAACTCGGGTGAAAAAGTGACGTAAACTCCGATTCAGTTTTAGGCTATTAGGATAAAGCGATTGTAATACTGAAATAAACTTCTCGGACACACCTTTTAAGGAAGGCCAGTGCCAGCGTATGGAGCGGTCGATTGAGTCGAAGGCCGCTTTCAGATCGAGAAAAACAGAGAGCGTTGGTATACGGAAAGAATATCGATGCTCGAGAACTTGTCAAAGATTGAAGATGAGGTCGATACAAACTCGACAAGGTCTAAAACCAGCCTGGTTCTTACGTGTGCACTCGTCACCTGCGATAGACAATCGACGGAGTATGATACCAGCGACAAGTTCAGAGGCAATGTTGAATAAACTCAAGCTGAAGGGAGTGAAAATACAATAGTCAGATGAACTTGTTAAACAAAGGGTCCTACAAAGATGAACTCCTGGAACCCGTGGATTACATTATTTANAAAGCGGGGATGCGAATGGGTGGTTCGTTATGAATAACTTGCCATCATAAAAAGAATCATATTGAAGTAAATCTACACAACTAACAAACAATCAGTAATCCGAAAAAGAACATACCAAATTGGTTTCTAGCAACCCGTACAACTTTAGTAACGGTGGCGATAATGTGTTTGGCACAGTTGGACTCGTAATGCATTCTCGAACGAGCGACACCAAACGACGGCGACCAAACTCATCGCTCAGATCAAGCACCGAGGCCAATTGTATGACTTGGGCAACAACACATTCCAACTCCATCGTGTGCTCGTCAAACTCTTCGGATACAACCTTACTCACTAATTGTTCGATCAAGCTGAAGGGAGTGAAAATACAATAGTCAGATGAACTTGTTAAACAAAGGGTCCTACAAAGATGAACTCCTGGAACCCGTGGATTACATTATTTAACTTAGGAGCTCGGAAGGATGAAGCCCAAAAGACTTTATGCTTCCATTCACAACAGGACCGTTATTTAGCAAGATACACTTTACATACACAGTGGACAAAATAAAGCTTTGAATATCATGCTTATACTTCACTGATACACTGGAACAAACCGAGCTCCCAATACTCGACATCACATGAGTGCTGCATTTCATCCGCTCGAAACGCTAGCTTTCTATGCAAAAAACAAAAAAAGCTTTTGAATATATAAGAAAATTGCAGGCAACATGGACATTGTTCTTTCAGAGACATCGATCAAATTCGTGAAACATCATATCGTGCGAAAAAAGTAGGTCGCGCAATCAACAGTTATTTCTTTTTTACAACCTAACGAAATCTACGTGACCCAGTATTCTGGTTACGGTTTTCCGTTTTCATTACACACTTTTTAGTGTAATGAACAGCAAGCGGGGTGGACCCCATTGTCACGAGGACCTGCTGTTCATTGATAGAAACCGGTAACCTAAGCCCAAGGACTTGGAGCGGCGAACAACATAAGGCCCCACTAGGTTAGGCGTGGTATTGCAGAATACCACATGGATGTTACCATTGCAAAACCACGATGAACACTCGCTTCTTAAACCCATAAAAACTGCTGCGAAACAAATGAGGTCCAGTTACGTTTGGCGTGCTTTCAGATCGGGAAAGACAGAGATCGTTGGTATACGGAAAGAATGTTGATGCTCGAGAACTTGTCAAAGAGTGAAGACGAGGTCGATACAAACTCGACAAGGTCTAAAACCAGCCTGGTTCTCACGTGTGCACTCGTCACCTGCGACAGACAATCGACGGAGTATGATACCAGCGACAAGTTCAGAGGCAATGTTGATTAAACTCATTCCTCTGTGGTTTTCACAAGAGGAGCTAGCATCTTTCTTGCAAATCTGTATGATCATCGATTCACATCATTCGTTTGCAACTTGTTCTGTTTCCCATAATGAGCCTAAGAATTTCGTTAACTCCAAAACCTAGGCTGAATCTCCATCCTAGAAAAGCAATGGGGATCAGCGTCCGGGCCGGAAACTTTATACCTTTTGAGATAATTTATTTCTTGTGTACAGTCAAATACTGTTGTGTTGCGCAAAATCGATTCATTGCATCGTCTGAGGTGGCTGGGGAACGTTCTACGGATGCTTGAACAGCGTCAGCCCCACCGTGCACCATTTGCAAACATTAGTCCGGGCTGGAAGAAACAGCGAGGTGGGCGAGGTATGGTGTGGTGTAAAAGGTTGAGTGTGCTAGGATCTGGCTTCTATCGGGGCTTCCTTGCTGGGGCCATGAAGATTCAGATTGTTGTTGACAGGAGACTCAGCAAACTTTGACATCAAACTGAAGTTAGTGGCGTGAATGTACTCTTTCCTATTTGCAATTCAAGATTGAAACCAACAAACCAATAAAAAGTTAAAATTGCGGTAAGGAAGCAAAAAAATTGTTATCCCCTACGCAAAACTGATTTTGTCTCTTCTGTTGTTCTGCTTTTACATCTCTCTTCCAACTCGTGGTTATCATACGGTCGTATCTGTAAATATTGGTGTTAAATAGGTGATGTTCTCCGCAACACGATCTACAACTGCGATCAAGCTCTCAATGCAGGCAAATATCAAAATTACTAGCAGTCGACCACCAGATAGAGTGAGTGCAGGCACGGGCTACCGGCAGACTTGAACAAGCACTTTGCACCTGGATGGTGAACAGCAAAAACCATACCTGGATACCTCGATTGCCAAGTGGCTCAAAGCGTGCTGAACTGTCTGAACATGATCACGCAATGGCAGTGGAGTATTTCAAGTCAAGAACTCTGTTCCCTGGGAGGAGTTTACTCCACTGTTTGCTAGACCGGACAAAGCATTCTGCAAAACATCCCAGACAGCGTGTTGGACTCATTTGTTAGTCGCATTTTTATCGAATTCAATAGAACTTGAATCATTCACTAAATTCAAAATCTTGTGCACATCGCTATGGAACGAACAACAATATTTTTGCGGATCGTCGCCAGATATGCAACCAATTTTTGACGAGACCCCTAGGCGATTTGGTGAAATGGAATGCACAAAGATGTTTAGGGTGCTGGATCTGTGTATAAACAAGTAAAGCTATTGTGAGAAAATCAGATCAATAATAAGTTTACAATAAGCCAAATTCTTCTCCGAGAACAATTTTCCAATGCCATAGTAAACATCAGTGAAATGGTGCGTCAATGGGCGGAGCAGTTAACTTACCGAGTAGAATAGTGGGAGATACTGTAGCGAGAGAGGTAGATCCATAGAACAGCATAAGCCAAGTGTCAGCATGGCTTGGTTTCGGACTGATGGATCTCCGTGTTGAATACTGGGCAAAATCTGGAGCGAAGACGAATAAGTTGGATTGTATTTTGACGTCATTGAATGAGGGGTCGACAGAGTTATGAAAACCTAATCAAACAAGTGTTCCGAATACATAACACTGAACAAATAAATTTCCATGAATTTCGATCTGGAACAGTCAGCAGAGTGAAGCGGTTACTATTTAAATATGTAGTGAGTCGAATAGCTCCTCCAAATTGTCGTCACATGCTGCTGTGTCACAAGTACTAACACGTACCATGTTAC